AATATAAAGTTGCTTTGTTATCTGCACATTTTATGAGACCAGAAATCAGTGGCCTGGTGGGAAGCAAATTTGAGTTGCGAGGGTTTTTTTTTGAGGAATGTGTGATAATGGAGGCTGGTGGTGTAGGTGAGGCACAAAGCCATCCTGTTTCCGGGTGTTTCACTTCTCCTTTCCCAGTGATCCATCGGAAAGAGACGTTTGTCTTGTTCTTTATTCCCCCAAGGAGAAGGCTGGCCTGAATTTCCATTTTAGACTGTTGCTTTGAGTGCCAAGAGATTGTTCCAGTGAAAGAAACTAATCTTCAGATAGGTCTGCCGCCACACAATGCCTAGGATCGAGGGCAAAGGCTTTAATTAAAATGGAAGAGTTGATAATTTCTGGTCTATCTGGGAAGCTTAAAGGTGATGCAGTTTGAATGAAAGTAATGACTTTTGCTTAAAATGCAAACATTAATGTGAGAAGGAGCCTGGGATCGGCTCGCAGTACAATTGGAAGAGATTGTCATTTCTTTTTCCTATCTTTCCCCTTAAAATACCAGCCCTCCTTTTCCTCCTAAAAACTCTGTAATTGTATATACATTTAACATGTGGGGTACTTTTTCCTCCCTAAATTTCCTTTCACTTGGCAGTCTGCCTATCTTTTCAAAATTTTAAAACCTGTGCAAATTGCAGGTACTAATAATAAGTCTTTGACAAAATAATAAGGATTTGCCATCATTGGTGTTGACGTGGATGGCGTGAGAGCAGTTTGAGACGTGCCTTCCTTCCGTGCTTCTCGGGGTAGCAGTGTGAGTGGCTTTCGCCTCTTTGTCCTTGGTTTGAATTCACACACGAAAGCAAAAGCAACATATATTTGTGATGGCATTTGTGTGCACCAAAATGAAGCTTTAAAATCAGGACCAGCAGCGAACAAAATGCATTTTGGATGTCAGTAGGATATTAACAAGGGTAGACGGAGATGTGGCCAGTTATGCCAGTGTATGTTAAAAGCAATTCTGATCAGTGATGCATTTTACTAATTATAATAATTGCAGGTAAAAAGTATGCTTTGTGTGAAATTACAATGGCTTAAGCATTGCCAAGTTGTTATTATTTTTATAATTTTTATGTTATAGGTAAATTTGTCACAGAAATGAAAGAGGACAATTACCCACACTCCATATATATATTTTTTTTCTTTGTTTTTTGAGACAGAGTCTAACTGTGTCACACCGGGTAGAGTGCTGTGGTGTCATAGCTCACAGTAACCTCAAACTCTTAGGCTCAAATGGTCCTCTTGCCTCAGCCTCATGAGTAGCTGGGACCACAGGAGCTCACCACAACACTCAGCTATTTTTGGTAAACGAGGTTTTGCTCTTTCTCAGGCTGTTCTCGAACTCCTGAGCTCAAGCCATCCACCTGTCTAAGCCTCCCAGAGTGTAGGGATCACAGGCGTGAGCCACGGTGCCCAGCCTTGCTCCCATTCTGATATGTGATTTCTTTTTCTTTTCCATTAATCATTGTTCTTATGACTGTTATGTAATTGGAATCACAGTATCTGTGCAGTTTTGAGTTCAACAGTTTTCTCTAGACCTTCATTAGCAGAAAGCACCTTTCCTCATGTAACATGGCGCCCACGGCCGCTCTGGTCCGTCTCTGTTGTTACAAGCAGCTGTCTCCCTGTGCTTTTCTTCTATGTATGTAATGCTGCAATGAATGTCTTTTCTCCAGTTTAAACTTTCTTTTTTGGGGGAAGTCTTTGCTTGTTTGTTTTTATAGAATACACTGAAAGGAGAGAGGTGCCAGGTTTCCAGGAATTTCTAGTAGGTGAGTGGTAAGGGAGGAGCCAGTTAGAGGAGGATCTGCTGGTGTCTCAGAGAGGAGAGACTGTCACCTGGAGAACAAAGTGGGGACAGCAGGAGGAGAGAGAAGGGCTCACAGCAGGTTTCTGCCCGTAGGTGCCGCAGGCCTGGGCTGGAGGCAGGACAAGCTCTGGAGTGGCCAGCAGCCCTCTGGGCATCTGTTTCCCTTTGTCAATCAATAGCATTTGGAAGCGGCTTTAGGTTTGAATCAGACTAACCAGGAATGCGCCTCCACACTCCTCCAGCTGAAGAGTCTGCGTGTTCTCACTTCCTGCTGGAAGCTGTGGGCAAGGAGGGCCCAGATTGTGCCCAGGCAACCTGGGGAAGCAGCAGGAGGGAGGAGAGTTGCCCAGGCCCGGGGGGTTGCAAACAGAGAGCGCGGTGGCCTCCACTGCTGCCCAGCATCAGGTTGTGTCTGCCAAAGCTCTGTTTTTCTTCACTCACAGCCCAGGCAGTTGTGCTACCCGTGGTGTAGTCAGTCCTTCTGCCACCAGAAGTGGAGGGGCAGGGGAGTGGAGTAAACGGGTCTGTAATGGCCAAGCAGCCCGTGACCCCAAGGCACCTCTCATGGCTGGCCACTTCCCAGCAGAGTCTGCCACCCGCAGCATTTCCCCTTTTCTTTTTAGCTAAAGGATTCTTACTAGTTTTGTGAAGCTGCAATTAAATAACTCAGTGAACTCTGCCTTTACTGGAAAGCCATTTTTTTTAAAAGGAACAAAATACTGTAAGAAAAAGAAAAAAACCCAGAATAAAACAGCCACAACGCAGGCCACATTATGAATTTCCAATTTGGCTGTGAGTTTGTCCTCTGGGAATCCAGAGCTTTGAGGAGATTGATGACGCAGGGACTGTGGTAAGAAGTTTTCCTAAGGTAACAAATGCAGAATGGAATATCTGCTTCTGCCACATTTGGGCTTGCACCGTTAGCGCTTTGTATGTTCACCAACCGCCGTGGGGTGTGCTCAGGCTCCGTGTCTGTGGTCACCTTCTTGGTTGTTACATCCTTTCCTAGTCTTTTGTCTGCAACAATATCCCTAATATTACCGCAACCCCTTTCTATAGGTAGAAAACATATACAGATGTTAGTAATCAGCATATTTATTTGCAAAGAGAAAAGTGCTGGTCTGCATTGTGTCGTTTTAAAAAACATGTAGAACTGAGTAGCGATGTCGACTTGTCTGATTCACCCAGGTCTCTGTTTCTCTGTCCTAATCTTCCGGGCAAAAAGGACTCCAGATAACCCTTAATTAAAACCTGGTTTGTAACCTAGAAATGGCTGCAAGTGTTGACAATATAATTCAAAACCACACTTTAGCACTTTAATATATCTGTAAGAATTCGTCATCTTCCATTGGCACTTTTAAAGCCATTTAAAGACCTTAAAAGTGTCCAGGGACTGTTTAGAAGCATGATACGCTTGCTCTAGGCAGAGTGAAGGAATTAAAAAAGTGATGAATGAGGAAAGTGCACAGAGAGGATTCACAACACACCCGGTAAACAAGGCGCAACTTGCTGTCTGTTCCCTAAAAATCACTTTGCCTTTGTGGCTAAACCATAAAAGTAAAACATCATCTAGGAGATTGGCTAGAACTCAACTATAAATAAAGGCAGAGTGGAGGAAAAGCCGTGACAAGAAGGAAATAATCTCTGAGTGGAGGGAAGGGGAGGGTGCCTGGGATTAGAGGATGATTCAGTGGATTTGGCGTGATTCGCTTAGGCACCAGTGAGTCCACAGCTCAGTGCAAATGTCTGGCTCTGTGCAGGTCACGGTTTTCACAGGTGCTGTCTCATTTGACCCTTATGAAACCCAGATAAATATTATGATAGATATTTTGTGCCTGGAGAAAATGAGGCTCATTTTGACTATAAACACATTCCAGCGAGGGGTTGGCCAAATACCACACAGCTGGAAAGTGGCAGAGGAGGAGCTGAGACTCTGAACTTCTGACGACTTCCTTGGTGCTCTCCTCACTCTGCCATCCTGCCTCGGGTAGGAACTTGGACCTTAGAACTGTCAGGTTCTCTGAATGTGTCGGGGGTCTGGGTGGGCTAACAGTTGAGCAGAGATGGGAGTAAGAAGGCATTGGTGTCGCCATGCTAGGCACGGACCGGTCAGCATAGCCAGAAGTCAGTAATCCTAATTCTGAAGCAAAGAGACCCTTATCAATTCGACTGCATCTGCCAGCTCTCTGGTCAGCCCCCAGACTTGCATACAGTGTCTTTTGTTTACTTATGACCTCTGACCTTGGCACCGCAGTCCCTAACCCACACAAGCACTTGTCTGTGGCCTGTTAGGAACCAGCTGGAGGGGAGCATGCAGGAGGGCGAAGCTTCATCTGTACTCAGGGCCGCTCCCCATCACCCCCATCACTGCCTGAGCTCTGCCTTCTGCGAGACCAGCAGAGGCATTAGATTCTCATAGGCACATGGCTGCTGCTGTGAACTGTGCACAAGGTGGGGGGGGGCTGGGTTGTGCTCCTTATGAGAATCTAATGCCTAGTGATCTGAGGTGGAGCTGGGGAGGTGATGCTAGCCCTGGGGAGCAACTGTAAATACAGATAATCATGAGCAGAGGGGTTTGCCTGCAGAGACCAGGATAGATGCTCTGCTTGCAGCTCATAGCAAAACTACACACACACACATCCTGGTCGGTGGAAAAACTGGCTTCCATGAAACTGGTCCCTGGTGCCAAAATGTTGGGGACCACTGCCGTAGAGAATCACTCTTGACAGCTTATTAACGAGGCTCAGGTATGGGAGAATAGTTAAGAAAAGGTTAGCACTGAGGGCATTGTGTGTGGGGCTCCTGGGGAGGTGCTGTCCCCAGATCCTCAGGGCACAGCAGCAGGAACCAGGGAGAAGATGGAATGGCCTCTCTTCCCGTTACAGTCACACCTCTGCGTCCTCCTTACATTACCCACTCTAGGCTAGAAGATCTCAATGCCTTTATCTTCTTTATCACTGAGTTTTCTTATCCTGAAATGACAGTGGCTTTACAACCATGGGCAAATCACCTGGCCTATCTGAAACTGCCCTGCGTGGCTTACAGGAGCACACGGAAGTGTTCCCTACTGAAAATGCTTTTTGGCCTTTGTGGTCAGCGCTGAAGTTTTGAAGGCTTTTTTTCTTTTACAGTATCTGCTTTTGCTTTTCCTCCCCAGAGTCGAAAGCATGCGAGCAAAGTCCGGCTGTATTACATGCTCCACCCCCGGGACGGGGGCTGTCCCGCCAAGAGGCTCCGCTCAGAGAACGTGAGTATCTGGAACTTGGGTGACTTGCTCGATTTGCTGAGAATTTTGTAGGTGTAGGAATTGCAGTCATGTCCAGATTGGTAGAAAAGCTGAGGAGAAATGGTTCTCATTAATTATTGCAGAGAATATTATATGTATCAAGGCTTTCATTTTTTTTTCCCCTGCTGGAACTTGCTGGTATGGGAGGACTTGCTGATGATGCTGCCCTGGACCATGTAGAGAGAAAATGCACAGAGAGGCTGGGATGGGCAAGGCAGGGTGGAGGGGGAATGGGAGGACTTGCTGGTGAT